TAAAGGTAGCATGAAAGTTTTGAACTAATTATTTCTTATGACAATATCAGTAAGAACACACACAGGTATTATGTGTTCTCAAGTTCCTCAATCTCGCTTAGTGCTCATCATTTTCAACAAACTTTTAAAGGAGAAATTCTTAACTCTCTATTGAGGCGGCACCACCTCGAAGTTCATCTAAGTGAAGTTCTTTCAATATTTTTGTTACTTTTAGAGATACTTATTACTTAGTACTGAACATCATTAAGAGTTTAAAGCTCAACCGTTAGCATTATATAATTAGGATGTGGTTATTATGGATTTTATAATGTTGAAACTATCCACGTATCGAAAGACTTGTTTTTACCCTTTGAACCCATGAATTACTTGTTAAGTAATGACAGGTAGGGTTGCTATCTTTGGTGGATCTTTTGATCTAAAAGTTTCAACCACATCCTCCTCGAAGTAGATGTTACTAAATCTCTATTTAGATGTTTAGTTAAAGGATTCGCTAAGTTCTCTATTGACTTGACATAATTTAGGGAGATTATTCCACTCTTGATTAATTTTTTATGTAGTCATATCTTAAACTCATATGTTTAGACTTTTCATTACAGATGACTTAGTATCTTATCAAATATAGCTAGCCTACGATCGTTTCATTTGATAGATACAATTTGTCACCACCAAGAAATCNTTATCAAATATAGCTAGCCAACGATCAATTTATTTAATAGCTACAAATTGTCACCAACTAAGAAATCATCTTACAAAGTGGCATGCTTCTCACTAGTTTTATTTAAAGCTTTATCAATTTTCAATCACGGTTGGAGGATTTCTATCTAACACTACAATAGTCAATCATATTTACTAGTGGATTTCAGAATCATGGGTATTCAACTTTATGAATATTATTCAAATATTCCAATTATTTTTGTATATTCAAACAAACGTCATAATTGGCTTTCAACCCATTTTATCTACTTTAGACTTAGCGTGCATCATCCTTATAATTATATAAGGGTTTTTTCTACATTTTCACTTCATAGACATTCTTCTATGACTATAAGGTATATGGAAATGTAATTTTTAAACTAAGTTACCTCACAATTCCTCAATTAGGAATTAATGTACAACGTCTTGAACTTTTCATATAAGTCCACAAACATTAATGTTAATCTCCACATTTTTTTTTTGTTATACTTGAACTTAGAGTTCATCAACCCTTTCATAGTTCACTTCATTTATCAAATAGATAATGTCTATATCAAATGCTTCGTGAAAGTCTAAATACTTTGAAAATAGTGGTCGTCAATCCACAATATATTTCAATTGAAATTGCATACAATTTACTTCAATCCAACTACATTTAATTTGGTCACACACAATTTGATCGATGTCATCACATAGACCAACAATGTTTTTCTAAGCATAAACCAACTTAATTGATTTCCGCATTTTAGTGTAGTATAGTACAATGGAGAGGGCTAAACATCTGGATTTACAAGAATTGCAACTTCTTCAAACATATGCAATTTATCAAATTTGTGACATTTTACATGATAGTATTATTTCATGTCAAATCATGGGGGTACCAATTCACCCTATTTACCGTATTCCAACTTGAATAAATGAATCAAACATAGGTTGAAAAGTTATGTTCTCAAAAGACACAATTCTATACAAGGACATACTTCTTTGAATTAATCTCTATGAAGAGACACGCCAATTGAAAAATAATCATACCAAAAGTTATGATCTTTCATATGAAAAAATATACATTTTCATCTAAATTGATTCTAGAATATTTCATAATATTCTGTATGATTTTCCACAATTATAAGTAATTAAATGGCTCATTACTAAATAATGATTTTCACTTTAATTAAATTAGGACAAAATCACATTTTGTCATACTCTTATGCAAATATAATTTTGCATAAATCATCTCATTTAATTTTATCAAATTAATTGAGGCTATCATCAAAGTTAACAAGACATGAATCAACCAACTAATTTATCATATCATTTTCATATTCCAATAAAAGGTATAGTCATGAAAGTTCATATACTTTCAAATAGTTGGCATTCTTCCAACATTTATACATGTCCAATGGTTAGGAGTAAACTTTGTCCTTTTTAAGCAGTCGTTGTATGACTTGTATTAGTCTCAACTATATTCCATTCATCATGATCAAGGTAAATGAATAGCAACTTATAATCCAAATATTTATACATTCATTTTATAAGTTTATTCCATCTTAGTCAATATATACTATGACTAGGAATGGCAATGTCTCATGAAAGCCCACGCACTTTCATTAAGAAACAATCAATTCTATATTGACAAGTTAACATTCGGTAGATCCCTTGTCGCCAAAATCGATTTTGAAAATACATTTAGACAATGAAGAGGCTCCACTTTATAATTGCCTTAGAAACACACATGTACTTTCAATTACAAGTCCTCAATTATCAAACAAAACGTAAAATCATTGTTTCATGACAAGTCATGTCATTGTTTCATGAAAAGTCATGCTTTTAAAAGCCATGCTTGATTTCCAAAAGAACACAACGTATTCCAGTTTAAAGTTTATTTAATACAACTTATATAAATTATTTAATTAGAATGAATGGTATCTCCAACCAAATCATCGTGCACTAAATAAACGGAGGCCAATGCATGTATCAACAGATATATATATATGTTGTTTGATAAAGGAAAATATATCACACACATTGTTGCTGCACAAAATTCATATTGAAACTCATATGACTTCCTTCTCAAAGTCACGTACTTTCAACTATATAAAACACATTTG